TTCAAACGGACAGACACACGTGCTATTTTCGTATATTGAATATGATGGCAAGAGAAAAGAAACACCGGAAAAGACAAGTTGTGTATGTGTATTTATTAATCATCAAACTAAACATTCAATGTTATATAGTATAGTAAATTTTATTTGACTCAAATTAATGAATTGGAAATACATTAACCATGGTCAATAATCATACAAAAAAAAAAACAATAACAAGAAACACAGATAGGGTCGCGTCGATGCGAAGGGTCGAGATGTCCCGGGTGTCTGTGTCGAGATGACCAATTTGGGACGAAGTGTCTTGGGTCGAGATGTCTAGAAATCGGCGATTTCAATGAATAGAGATTTAGAATACCAATACATGTCAACACTCGCAACAAGAAAATGTGCCGCTAAGACATCGGGGGCGAGGACTTATTTTTATTATTTCACAATCGCCCTCAAAATAATTGATGAAATAGTTTCGGGACCCATCGACAGTAGAAAAGTAGAAACTTGAGGCGAAAATAATAAAAAAAAAACGGCTGTTACGTCCCGACCTGATTTCAGGTCGGTAAAATATGGTAACTCGCATAGGATGGAACTGTAGCTCCCTGGTTTCGCGTTAACACCGCGACGAACAAAATAACCGACAGCGAAACCAAGCGAGCTACAGAACTGCAGCTATCGCAACAGACACATTTTGCTACTTGCTACTCGCAACCCACCACTCGCAACTGGCGTATTTATGCACCCTTACATACCTCGTACCTTGGGTGGACCTCTCTCAGATTTCTCTAATTTTGGTGAAAAGTGATATTTTCGACTTCTTGTTAAAAACCGCAAGTTTGATTGCTTAGATATTACAGATTCGTTCCTTTCGTGATGATATCTTCAATTCTTTAGTTTTGGTGAATATTTTTGTCATTTTCGACTTCTTGTTAAAAACCACAAGTCTAATTGCTTTGATATTATATATACTACATAGGTACTACAGGTAGACCTCTCTCAGATTTGTTCATTTTGTTCTTCAATTATCTAATTTTAATTAATATTTTTGAATTTTTGTTGAAAACAGCAAGTCCGATTGCTTTACTATACATATTGTTCATTTTCTGATGATATCTTCAGTTCTTTAATTGAAATTTGCATTGCTAACAGCGGAGCTATCTCAGCCGACAGACTGCTAGTAATTAATCCAGTGTTCATCAAAAAAGTGAAAAATAAAAATTTGAAAAGATGAATGATGTATATTTGTTCCTGAAATGATTTTATTGCTTGTATTGCATAGTTTTATTAGTATATTATAACTACTCTGCTCAATCTAATATTTATGAATTCTATCACTAGAGGGCACTATGCTGTCACCTTTGAGCACAATAGATACATGATAAGCAGTTTAAGACAGTGTTTAAATATAATCCAGATGTGCTAGGCAATTTGTTGCTTATATCAAGTTAGTTATTGCTTTTTGGTATATATTGGGATGGTGCAGGAATTATAGTGGAAATTTGTTAAAATTGATGTGTATATACTTTTGTGCAATAAACTGTACATGCATGCACAGAATACATAGATTCTGAGGATAAACTATAGATGTCATATCGTTGTACTATTAATAAACCTTGCACATATTGCATTGTCAGTATACCATTGCAAATTAAGTGAATGTACTTCTCTTAAAATCAACCATTCTTAGAATAGTAAATAGACAGACATATATTATATTGCATAAACAGAACTTAGTTTTAAATAAAGATGGTCTCCCAACATCTCATTGACAGCGAGAGAGCCACAAGACTGTTTTTTCCATTCAAATCATGTTCCATTTTCTCATGATATCACATCCACCGTTTCAAATAATGTTACTAGATAATTACACTACTGACTG